CCGCTGTGGGTACCGCATCCCGGCAGTCCGTACCCGAACCGAGCCGCAGGAGCGGGCAGGACATGCTCCCGGTGGTCCCGGTCCCCGGTACTCCCACCTCCGGCATCCCGGGGCTGCTCCGGTCACCGGAGCATCCTCCGCCCTCGTCCTCAGCTCCGGCACCTGCAGCCCCGTGTGCCCCTCACAGCCCCGTGTGCCACTCACAGCCCCCTGTGCCCCTTCACAGCCCCCCACAGCCCCATGTGCCCCTCACAGCCCTGTGTGCCCCTCACAGCCCCCCACAGCCCCCTGTGCCCCTCACAGCCCGTGTGCCCCTCACAGTCCCCCACAGCCCCCTGTGCCCCTCACAGCCCGTGTGCCCCTCACAGCCCCGTGTGCCACTCACAGCCCCATGTGCCCCTCACAGCCCCGTGTTCTCCTCACAGCCCTGTTTTCTCCTCACAGCCCGTGTGCCCCTCACAGCCCCGTGTTCTCCTCACAGCCCGTGTGCCCCTCACAGCCCCATGTACCCCGCACAGCCCTGTTTTCTCCTCACAGCCCCTGTGCCCCTCACAGCCCCTGTGCCCCTCACAGCCCCCTGTGCCCCTCACAGCCCCGTGTTCTCCTCACAGCCCCGGGTATGAGAGAACCTTGCAGGTGGAATTGCAGGATTGAGAATCTGGATCGCTCTTAGAAAATTCGACTTTTTGCATCCTGTGAAGGAGCTGGAAGACAGTAAAGGTGTTTATTTCCCTGACCAAAAAAAACCCAAAAACAAACAAACAAACAAACAAAACAATGAGGTGTAGCATTTGCATTGTCATCTGATGTTGAGGAAGGAACACTGACCTCTAATTAAAATTGAAACCATCAATGACGACCAAGGTCAGCACACTGCTATTAAAACTGTGTGTGTGCCGAGTTACTTGCAAGGCCACAGGCAGCGTTTTTCAGTGCTGCTCCACAAACATCAGGGGATGGCAGCAGTGAAAAGGGCAGCAGCTCCAGAGCAGGAGCAAAGGCACGGGATCTAACCTGCAGCAGGGAGGGCGCAGGGCCACAGCCACTGCAGCACCCCACGGCTCCAGCAGCTCCAGCCAAGGGCACGAGTACACAAAAAGCTATCGAGGACACAGAAAGGCTGCTTTCCCTCCTGCCATTGGCTTCCAGGATTTGCAGGAAGTTTTCCTCCTGGCAAAACAGGCAAAGTGAAGGTCTGTGTCCCATCAAAGTGCTTTAGGAAAATTACGGGTGGCAAGTAGGCAGTCCTTTGTGGAAAGGTGAGATTCAGTCAAATCCAGTGGTTTCACATTGATACCGGGACACATGGGTCCTGCTAGGACAATTACCTTCCATTCTATGCCAATCAGAAGGAGCAAAGATTCACAACAAGCCCTTACAACTAATGAGCCCCCATCTATCTATGTTTAAGCTGGCTGCCTGCTCCTTACAAACACCAGAGCAGCACAGCCTGCTTCCAGTCCCTTCTTAAAAGCAAAAGTTTTTATCTCTCTTCAACAAGATACAGTGCTTTTTCTTACCAAAACCCCAATTACCAGATTGCAGACTCAAGTTAAATATTAACAGGTAAAACTCTCCCTAAACCTACTTAATGCTGGGTTCACAGCTAAAGGGTTAGGAACACAGCCGAGAGCTCACTAATTGCTGACAAATGTCATCTTACACCAGTCCTATTACATAATAATGGACATCATTTAATCCCCCTGGGAAGAGGTTTAAGCAAAAAGACACCTCTCTGGTGCTTGAGATAGGATTCAAGCTATTATTGTTGCCCACTTGACAGCTAAAAATGACAGTAGCTATTAATCATCCTTCAAGATATGCCTGAGTTATGCATGTATGAGCAAAGCAGAAAAGCCCTGTAGCCTGTTACTTACAAAGGTTCGGTAGTTGAAGTTTGTTGTTAAAAAAAGCATTGAATTGGTCAAAAGTCTGTTATAACTGGCATTGCTAAAGAAGAACATTCAGTATGCAATCAGTTCAAAAAGGAAAATAAAATTAGCAACCAGTGGATCAATACTGTTTCATCAGGAGCCAGACTTGATTCCATCTCAGCTACTCACCACTTTTGGTGACAGACTTTTAAAAAGATGAAACAGTATTACAATCATCCCTCTCATCATCCAAATCTGCATAACCCCTTCTTAGATCACTCTGCTTCGGCTGACAAAATTGTTTGGGCCTATCCAGTACCTGCAGCTGTTCCTACACAGGTCCAGCCATGAGTAAGACAGCCCTCAGTGTGCCCTGGCCCCTTTAACCTTCCAGTTACTTCAGCCAGTGCTGCATTACACCCCAGCACTCACACATGCACCCTGCAGGACCCGCTGCAGCTGCCCCAAACATTCCTTCTGTCCTGCAGGTGGTCGTTGGTCCTCAGTCTCCTGCTTAGGAACAGCTTCAAACCACTGCCTCTGTACCTGCTCCAGGAAAGGTGGATGCAAGAAGCCACATTTTCTATTTGCTATCTATTTCTCATCTTTTATTTTACATATCCTGTTTTGGAAGGACCTACAGCAACAACTTCTGCTCAAACTTTCCCCTCTCAAATCTTCCCATGACAATTCTACAATGGCATCTGTAAGACACATTACAAATCTGTAGGACTGTGTCCTGGGATGATGCTGACACTGTAGCCCCTACCATGGGCTTTATGCTCACACACGGGTCCTGTAACTTAGGGCTGGGAGGGGGAAGCCGGGGAAATTCCTCAACACTCAGTTTGTGTTCAGATCTCACAGACTCCCCGTCTCTCTCTGCTGTGAGGCCAGGAGAGTTGTGTCTTTGCTTTTAGCTAGCTCTTGTTTGTTAGCTAAGGCAGGAAGTTTTCCTGGGGATGTGGCTTCTTCTTTGGGAACTATTCAGCTCTGCTGTTGTCCAAAACCCAGACCATCACTGGGAGCCCTGGCCCGGCAGGGGAGGCTGCAGGGACATCCCGGCTCCAGACCCGGGACGAGCAGGACTCTAAGAATCCACCAACTTTCTCCACAAGAAGAAGGTTTATTATCTAACATTTGGAAACAACAAGCTTAATGGTGTTTGATTTCAGTTTGAAGGAAATTTACGAAGTTCAGACTCTGTCACATCTCAACTGCTTGAATAAGGTCATAGTACTCACATGCAGCATAGCCACTTTGTGTGAAAAAGGGAGAAGGAACAAAACTGCAAGGCAAGCAAACTGAGACCAAACCAGGAAACTGACAGGAAAAAATAATACTCTGTTTAATACTTCCATATAGAATAGGCTTCCCGCGGTAACTCCCGCAACGCCGGGCTGCAGCGCAGGGAGCCGCCACGCGAGGGCGCCGCCGCCCCGCCGCGCTCGGGGGATCCGGGGAATCCGGGGGGATCCGGGGGGATCCGGGGGGATCCGGGGGGATCCGGGGGATGCCGCTCCCGCAGGCTGCGGCCCCGGGAATTCCCGTCTGGAGCCCTTCCCTCCCTTCTCATGCACAGACACGCACGGCAGCTCAGGCCAGGCCCTTTGGCACTCAGTGTGCAAGGAGCGTCTGCTTACGGCCTCCTAGAAATGGAACGAAGAGAGGGGAGCACAGGGAGAAACGGAACATCAGCACTGCGCTGGAAAACGAGCTGGGTCGGGTGAGGAAGCACTGCGCGGATTTCACTGAGCACACTGCAAGTGCTCAACATGTTTAAACATCAGTTTCTGAATACCGTGTTTAGCACACAACAAAACAGCCCACTCCCACATCGGTTTCAAGCCAAGAGCAAGATCTCAAGCAGCATTCCTTAAAGCAGCAGCTTTTAGTCCCGCTCTACCACTTGATTAAACTGCACAACTGCTCAAGCCAGTGTTTCCCAGTTAGTACAGCTAATTCATCAGTGCACTCCTACAAAAAGGCTATTTATCAATTCCAAGATAGATAAATTTCCACAAATTCCTCTTTTCATTATTCAGGTAGTTACATGTCACCTTAATCCAAATATAAATCCACTTGAAATTACAAATTGAATCATAAATTAGGTCAAACTTCAAAAGGTAATGATTAATCGACTTCAGTAATGCAGTTTGCTTATTACTTTATCTCCACAGCCAGGTCCAAGGTTTGTGAGCGTGATCTCAGCCCTGTTTCTTCCTTTAGCTCTTCTGGTGGCACTGGAGATGGATCAAGTTTTTCATTGCTGCAGATCCTCTGCGTGTATGGTTTAGGAGAGACTAATAACTTAATGAACTGTGCATACACAGAAGAATAATTAGCTTTTGCCCTTTTTTTAAAAATTATTTTTACATTAAGAATTTGGTTCTGCCCACCCAGTGACCCTCACACATACAGGTGAGCAGGTACTGACAGCCTGAAGCTGGTAACTGAAATTTAGTTCCAGATTTCCCTAAATTCTCCAATCCAGGTTTCTTGTGACTGCCCTGACCACAGTGGAGGCTTTTTTGGCTGAACAGCTATCAGTGTCACACCCAGACTAGAGAGATGGAGCTGCTGGAGAGTCCCCAGTGACAGCCACGATGATCAAGGGTCTGGAGCACCTGAGATGAGGTTAGAGCTGGGTCTGCTTGGCCCAGAGAAGGCTCAAGGAAATCTCATCAATACCTGAAGGGAACTGTAAGAGACATATTCACAGTGTTGCCCAGTGACAGGAGAAGAGGCAGTGGGGGCACAATCACAGGCAGTCCTACCTCAACATAAAGGAAAAGTTATGGGCCTTTGCTACTTATATTGGGCAAAAGGTCCCCTTCATGTAATTTCCAAAGTCAGCTCAGCTTTCAGATTCTCTCTTCCTATTTGCTCTCCAGCAAACAAGCAGTCTCTTACACAGAAGGCTACCACTCCAATGTGGTACAAAAGCCCCGAATATTCTATTAGGATTTCTAGTTCAGTATTCATGAAATGTTTACTTGCTCCTGCCCAGACTGGGGCCCAGGACAGATTAAGTGCAGAAATTAGGAATGCAACAAGCAGCTTAACAATATCCACCTTGTTCCTGCAATCAGCTAAGGAAATCACAACAAGCATAACACACAAAACCACAAAGAGACCCCAGAATTTTATTTTAAGAAACATGTTCAAATGCAGCATTGAAAACAGAGTGGAATGCCAAGAGTCAGAGAACTCATGCTGAGTTATGTTTTCTTTGACAAACTAGCACCATTGAATCACAACTCACAGACTAGTTTATTTCTAGAGGTTAAAAAACCTCCATCATTATAAAATTTCTAGGAATTCTATTAAAAATTGGTTCTCAATTTACTACTCCTACAGAGATGAAAGCAGTCTGAAGTTTTCATATGTACTCATTGTTCAAATTACCCATAACAGACAGTTTATTCTTAAGTCTAAACATCCTAATCAAGGAAAAAAAAATGTCTAAAAAGTGACCTCCATAAGTCTTTACAAACTAAACAAGTAAGAAAAATCTACTGTGTTATAAATATACACAGTACAATATGTACAAGTCTGGTCTTACAAAATAAGAGCTTCCTAGTCCATAAAAATACTAACTCAACTACAAAGTTTTCTCAGTATTTAGTCAAGCTGTCTCAAGCAGTCACCATAGCAAATTCCTAAAATACTGATTTGTACCATAGCACAACAGCTTGAACATGTTCACAATGGGAAAGAGCCCAACATTTCACCATACAACTGATTTCTAATTTCCCACTCAGGTTTAGTGGTACTGTTAATGTTTGCTGTCTATTTTAACGTCACAAGGCCTTTACATGTTTCTAGACTGTGTTTGAACTATTCAAAGTGCTGAAAGTGCGATCAGAGAGTAGAGTTTTGTATCCCTTTTCCAGTACACCCTTCTCTGGCACTGGCAACAATAGCCAAGGGTTTCTAGGTCTGTGAGGTGCAAAAGGCACACGCTCATTTGTACATGCTCAGGGAAGTATTCACACACACACATGCACTTTGCTTTAAGGACCATAATATTAGAAGGCTTCCTCTGAGTAAAGAAATTCAAACATTCCTTTAAAATGCCTTAATGCAGACACCTGGAATTCATAATGACCCTGACATTAAGTGCTTAAAGTGACAGTGAGATGATGCTAGAAAAAAATGGAGTTTTGGCTTTAAACTTAGGCTATCCAATTATTGCTCTGGAACAGAGAAACACAAAGTCTATGCTCTCTCACTCTACCAAGCAAGGGCCAGCTTACATTCACCACATGGTTTATCACAACAGTTAACAGCATTTGTGAGCGTACACATACACATACACATAACCCTTGGCATTTGTTCTTCTACTGAAGGCCATCTGCAGCCTGAATGAAAATAAAACTATTTGAATAATGTTTCAAGCATTACCCTTCTGTACTCACACATGAAAATACAAGAAGTAAGAAAACTGAACTGTGCCTCTGCCAGAAAACAGATCACTGACATAAGTTAACACTGCCTCCTTTCCTCCTCCCTTCTCTACAGTGCTCTCCTATGACATGCATCATAGTAGTTTGTACTGTTAAAAATTAAGAACATATCCCTCTTGACAAAGTTGACAAGTTTTTCTAGTGGGCACATTGGCTTGCTGGAACGTTTATAATGATCCTTGCAAAACGAGGTCTGGAATGTGACATCAGCACCGTTGTACAGGATGCGGATAAAGTGTTCTTTGGGCCTCTTCCCATCCTGCCACAGCTCAAAAACTAATCTGGCAGCAAATCTGGGAAATCTGGCCTCTGTAATGCCCAAGGCACTAAGAACAGGTGACAAGGTGACATCATGTGCAGAGTAGAGGACAAACACTTCCTCCTTCTTGCCTTCTGCAATACGCTGCAGCCTATTGACAGTCTGGTTGAGGAGAGGATGAGTAGCCAATAGTGCATACAAGAAGTAAAGTTTCTTCTCCTGCCTTTCTCTCTCATCCTCCAGCTGGTGTCTCTTGATTACTTTGAAGTGTTCCATACCAATGCAGCCAGCTTTGGTACATGGAAATGAGACGTTATGACAGAAATAGCACAAGAGAGAATCTATTGGGTTCGAAGCTCTCAGCTGCCTGGTGGGAATACCCACAATCTTTGCCATATCCACATATATATTCTCCAAATTGTTGTTTTTCACCCGTAAGCTGTACTGCCTGCGCTGCTCCTCTTCCAGGTAGTGGTTTCTCATGGGACAGTCACAGCTTCCTGAGCAGAAAATGGTGCTCCACTGGTGCCTCATGTTAATTTTCTTCCAGTCAAAATCTGGCAAAAAGGTGTAGAGCAGGGCCAGTGCACTCTGCAGGGTTCGGCTTTTCCCTGTGGTCTCCAAGTAGAGCTGCTTGGCTGTCCAGTCACTAGGGAGCAGCTTGTGTTTGTTGATGTAAATCTCTCGGAGCAGTTGTCCATTTCGCAAGTGTTGTACCACCCCTGAATTTTGACAGAAATTACAACACATGATGAGAATCTTTGCAGTCACGCAGAAAAAAAATTACAGCTAGTAGCCTTACTGATGAACTTACAAATCTGAACTTCAGTTATGATGACTGTTAAGAAAACTCTGAAACATGAGAAATTTTCTATTCTTCAGTATCTCTCAGATTCTAGGAACTAGCCTGAAATACAGAAAATACATTGGTTCCATAAAATTTGTTTAAATCCTCAGTGGTTTAATATTAATTCTTTGGACTAAAACATAGACTGGTGGGGTCTAACATGACTATAAAAGTAAGCAGTTTTTGAAGACTGCACCTCAGTCAGGTTTTCAGGCCTGCAGAGAATGCTGTGCCCCTGAAAATTTATGGCAGCAAATAAAACCACCAGCAGTCAGGACACAAATACACAAAATGTAAATTAATGTGTAAACTCACAAAACAATCATGAGGTGTAGCAATTCCATCAAGCCTCCGTCTCCATCCTTCAGGGAGCATTTAAATTGTTTGATAATTTATGCTACAGCTCTGCCTTTATCCAGCTGGAGAGTGTATCCTTCTCATGTGCCAAAATACTCCAGAACCCACACCTCTTGCACAAGAGCAAAGCAATAGGCATGAACCCCTTCTGCACTAGAACACCTCTATGTACCTTGCTGCATCCCACCGGAGTCCCCAGATGCCAGCTCAGTGACACAGTCCATGTGTTTGTGCAATTTAGGTGGTGTCCTGCCTCACCTTCTCCTGACATCACTTTGCAAGGCTTGACAGTGGCCAAGGATTCCTTCCAAAGGGATCCCAGAACACACAAGGATTTAACAGGCACCAGATGTATGAAGCATTTCCATAACACAAGCACCATGTTTGTCTGCTACATCAGCATCTCCTGGAGGGGACACAGGGTCCCTTTGAATCCCAGCCCTGTCAGCAACAGAGCACCAGATCTTCCTCAGAAGGGACTGATCAAGGCTGTTTGTCACAAGGGTAACAGAGGAGTTCTGAGGTGTGAAGCAACATGAAAGAAAGGTGCTCTGACTTGCTACAAAAGAATTTAAAAGATATGCCAAGATTGACCAGTGTGTAACAGGATTGTCAAGCTATAGGACAAAGCATGGCTTCTAAACTGTTGCCACTTTTACAGCTGAGTTACATATCCCAGCATAGCTTAGGATATGACCAACATGATAAGCTTCCATAAAAAAGCATTTATGTCAACACAAAGAGAATCAGAAGATCCCTTTTCAAGCAGACTGTGTTTAACAGAGCAGAGGATGAGACAGAGCTGCTAGGGGAACTCACCTGTCTGTGTAAGCTCTCCCATTTCACACAATGAATGGCTGGGGAAGTGAGGCAGGCTGCTCAGAGAACCATCCATTTGGGCTGCAGACCCTTTGGACATATGCTTAACGAAGGCTTCAAGCTGAGGATGAGAAGGTTTCCTAGAGAGACAGAAACCAAAATGTGAAAACTTCCAAAAGCATATGGGAAAGGAGCTCGAGAGAGTCAAGTATTCCAAGTATGTCACCTCAGAAATTTCATGATGTGAGGTTATTTCCCACTGGGACAACATCTGCTCTTACTCGGGACTTTTGCAAGTATGGAAAAGAAATCTAACTACTTACTCTCCACCAAAGAACTGTAAGGAAACATGTCTTGTCACATTAAAATTATGATACCTTTCACTAAGTATTTTAGAGTAATTTCTGGGGGTTGCTTTGAATTCAGTTACTAACACTGTTATGAATTAAAATGAAAAAAGATATTAAATAATCCTTTAAAAAAACCTCCAAACCTCTCTTTTCTGAAGTACCAATGCTCTTTAACAGCACAGCCAAAGCCAGTTATAATCTAAAAGGGTTCAAATACAGCACTTTAAGCAGATGATCTTGAAGGAATTCCCAGATATTGTAATGTGCAGTGCTGAACACAATTTCAGCTTTTATTTCTATTTCCTTCAGCCTCAAATCAAATAGTATGTGTCGTGTCAGTTATGTGGGACTGGAAAGCAGTACCCAGTGGCCCCATTAAAACTGGAATCATTGTTTGGGGTGCTGCACTTTTATCCAGGAAGAAAGAGGCCAACACTCCTGGACACTACACAAGTAAGATACCCTGCCATGAAGTAATGAATGCAGCTGGAAGAGATATTCACTAAAATATTCAAGCTAACTCGCTGAAACAGAGTTCAAGTCAGTGAAAGAATGCTTAAATGTCCCACACTGCACTGGAAATTTCAAATACACCACGGATTCAGCTCACTGCGGTACTGCTGCACAGAAAGCTACAGGTACCAAAAATCCCACAATGCAACCCAAAGGTAATCTGAACCTTTAAAAAATAAATCCATGATCATATTCCTACACCAGAAATGCATTACACTAAAGTGGAGACATCCTTGCTAAATGTCAGCAGTTATCAAAGGTTACACAGTCACCTCTCTAATTTTGTGCAGAAGTACATTAGAAACTGCTTGGCAACCCAGCTCTGCTCCAGATGGTTCTTATCTGAATAGGATGTTCAGCTTGAATACAGTTATTTTCATGTTGCTTAAAAAAAATATATATATAAAATAACTTATGTCAGGGATCTCTTACAGAACTCTGGGATTTGTGTTTACTACTCATATTTACATTTGTTAGAAGGATAAACTATTTTTGATATAAAAATCTCAGTCTTAAAAAGAAACCTGACTTGCAGAACACACCAGAGGGAGCAATAACACCACTAAAGCAGGAATGAGAGTCTGGAATGGAAGTTTGCTGGGACAAAAACATGCATGCTCACTTAGAAACTCTCACATAAGAGAGGACCTCTTGCAGAGCTCTGCTCACAGGCTGCATATACAGGAGGGCTCATAAGAATCAGTGTCTGTCAATAGAAAGGTAGCTCATATCACTTTATAAAACTTGAATTTTCCAGTATCTAATTGCTCTTCAGGAAAAAAATAATTCTGGCAGGAAAATGTTACAATTATATCACAACTGCCGATAAGAAAAAAAAATGCAAAATGAGACAAAAAGCACAATGAGATTAAAAATCACACTAATTTTTTTCATTTTACTTCAGATTAAAGGAAAACCAGCCATTTAATGATATTCTAAATCCACAGCTTCTTCTGTATATTGTAATTTTAACAGGGCAACTGAAGATTAGTATTTGCAAAGCAGAGAAAGGAACAAAGCCTGGTTTATGTTTCTCAAGCAGTGGAGGCTTCCTGTGGTACAATCCTGAATTAGAAGCTTACTCCAGCTCCAGATGAAAATTTCCAACAGAACATTTTATACATTGCACTGTTTTCACAGCCCAGCAGTGAAATCTATAAATGGAAGAATTAAGTTGAGAAAATTAAATTACCCCCATTAGCAAATGGCTTTTTAAGCTTATTACATAGGTAGCAGCCTGAACCACCAACTTTCTAAATTTTGAATGTTATAAAACTCTACACATGAATAAAATGACAATCAAAATTTTCCTTAAACTCTGTTCATTTAATTAATAATTTCTGCAAACACATGTGAAAGAAAACTTAAATAACTGCATTATCCATTCTGCTTCTTTTGCTGCTTTGCTTACAAAAGCCTGAAAGAATTCTAATGGAATCAAATCTGTGCTGATAAAACTGCCAGCAACCACTTGTAGGAAAAAAGAAAGGGAAGAAGAAAGAAAAGTATTTATCTGTAATTTGCAAAAGGATTTTTCAGGAAAAAAAATGGCAGGCAAAATAAATTAACTTTCAAGATAAAATTACAAAAGGGACCATAAATGATTATTTTATATTCCAGTGTATTAATACAGTATATTAATAATATTAGACATGGAGATGCAATTTACTTACACTGTATTTAAAGTGAGCACAAGATAAGCACATGCCTGCAGAAGTGCATTATGAAATAGACTGTTGGACATCTTTCTGAATAGAAATTCAAAGGTTACTTCTTGTTAAATAGATATCCCTGTACAACTGGGCAAACAAACACCTATTTTTCTCAGCAGCAAGATCTGCAGCAGCACTCAGGCTTCCAGCTGACAAAGCATTCCCCCTCCCACCCCAAGACTTGGCTTTTATTTAGAATATGAATCCTCCTGTTGAATTGGCCAATTTACAGATGCTGCAGGAGATGGAGTATCCAGGCAACACGGCTGAGGCTGCCGGGGGCTGCTGGAGCAGGAAGCAAAGGAAATTGCTCAGTTGTACAGTTGTAAAGACTGAATTATCCTTAAAATTTTATTTCCATAAGAGTAATCAGAAAATAAAAATGAACTAAAGACATATCCTTCTGTAATTTTCCTGGCCTTACAATGGCAAGCTACCATATTTGCAAAAGGTCAGCGTATAAAAACTATTTCAAATTTTGTCAGAAAATGGAACAGCTTTTCATTTAAACCAACTAACAACAGCCACACTTCCCAATTTTAACATTTGCTTCCCTTATTTAAAACCTGCTAATTTGCCTTTTAATGATTTTATTTGTGTACAACAGAATACATTTTATCTGTAGCAAAACTGAGGATGCTTCTTTTCCCTCAAATAATTAATTCAGCTGATCTTTTTGTTATTTACAACCTAAGCTCTGGGATAATAGATCCCAGATTGAATACTCTGGTTTTCATGCACTAGCATTAAAATCGACCAACATTTAAATCCTTAATCAACATTTAAATATCATATTTGCAAAGGTCTTAAAATGCTTTAATATCACCTTTTATTGCTACACTGTAACCAGTGTACATGGAAAGAAATATTGCACAACTATTTGAACTGTATTACGTATTTCTGCCCGGAACAGAGCTGGCATCCTTCAATAAAATTTCCCTTTTCCTTGAGGAGTTAATACAAAAATGCATGGCAAAAGCTGAGAGGACCAGGCTTCTCACAAGCAGTTGCAGAGCCCTCAGTGCATCATTTAGTGAGTAAACGTGACTCCACCAGGCTTCAGACACACAAACATTACTTTTCTGTAATCACACAATACAAGATTCTGCCTGCAAACTATCCCAAGAGCAAGTCCCTTTCTCTTTACTTAAAATGCAAAAAATCATTTTAGAACTTCAAGCAAAAATACCATGTATTTTCCGTGAAGTTCAAATACACACAAAAAAAAAAAAAGTGTGAGCTCAAAGGACTACTACACTGCGTGCTTTTTAGAGAACAAATGCATGGAAAAAGCCACTAAACCCAACAATAGATCAGTGTAGTCTGCAGAAGTGATCCTAAGGCAGTAGTAGTACAGTTGGGGATTATTTATTCATAAAGGTCTCATAGCTGATACATTTTTATAACAAACTCCACACCGCTCCCCTGGCAGGGGTTTGGAATGAGAGGATCTGTGAGGTCCCTTCCTGCCCAAACCATTCCATGGCTCTGTAATTCCACCTCCTCCACCTCTGTCTGACTCCTTAAAGTCAGCAGAGGCCTCAGGGGACGTTTCTGCACCTGACTCTGGTCAGGCTCCTACTTTGACCTCACCCCAAGTCAGATCCACAACCCTCCAGCTCACAGTACCATACTTGTCTCATCTCCCACGTCCCAGCTTGTTTTTGTGGCAGTTTCAAAACATGTGCATATTGAACCTAAAATTTCAGTATTTGTTACTAAGCTTCTTATGATTACCATCAACACCTCTCAAAATGTCTTCAAGTACATGCTAATTAACCCAGCTAATTATAAATCATAGCAGTCTTCTGAAATCATTTTAGCATCTTCCAAAAAGCATTTCTTCTCTCTCACATACAAACTCAGTGAAGAAACACTGCATATTTTTTACTTTTGACACTATAAATGTGAGCTACATAAGGAAAACAAAAAAAAGTGTGGGATTAATTTCTTTCCCCCATAAGCAAATACTACAATGAATAGATTTTATAACATCATTCAAGTAATTTTCTTGAGGAAAAAAAGTATTCATTATTTGGTTCCCTCTGGAAGTTTGCATCCAGAACAATAAAAATGATAACAATAATATTAATTGAAGTTTTAGATGGAAGAAATCTCCAAAGCATTTAATCCATTTGCTTATATTCATTCCACACTTATATGTCACAATCCATAATTCACGAAACCCAAGCGTGACCTCAAGGCTACTTTGCATATCCATTAGAAGTCCACGGGGCTGTGGCATAATCTACTTAATTAATGAATTCCATCAGCTGAATGCCAAGTCAAATAAGAGCAGCCTGCATGTGAGCAGCTTGCTTATCTGATGTTGTAAGTCCTGAAAGCTTCAACAAGCCAGACTTTCCATCAGACATCCCAGCTCAAGTGTACAGCAGCAAGAAACCCTCAGCTCAAAGGCAGTGATTACAGACCCTGTCACACTCCCCATATAAATACGTTTACAATCAAGCTCTAAATTTACATCACAAAGGAATATAAGCCTGACAGCCAAACACAGCAAATAACTTCCTGATGCTGAAGTAATGAATGTTCCACTCAAAACAATGGCTTAATTCTAGTTTAATTCAGTAAGGTCAGCTTTAATACATCTGGGCAGAATGGTGCAGAGCCAACTCCTTTAATCTTTCTTCTGCCCTAAATTAGGAGAGGAGATGCTCTTTTACATAAATTTTGTACTTGAGGAGACAAGGTCTTTCAGTGGCTGTGAGTGGTAAGGGATGTGTCATTTACACAGTGATGCTCTAATGCTTCACAAACCAGTGAGAGCCATGAGCATTCCCCTCTGGCCTCCCCAGAGCCTGACTGCGCCCTCTCAAGTGCTCCACTTGGTCATTCTGTGTCAAAGCCACACTCCTTCCTTGCCTTTTATGGATAGTTTTTCTGACTCCAGGGCCTTCACGTTGTACCCCTTGCCTGAAACTGAATTGGAAACAGCTATAAAAGCTTTTCTGACAAATACAAAACTGAGGTCCCATGTGGCACACTAATATTGCAAAACACAGCTACTCATCTAACACTGTCACTTGCAGTTAACATCTTTTCAATAAAGCTTTCTCACATACGTTCTAACATGACAGATATTAAGAAAGATCAGAAGATCAGAGCCTTTAGGAACTCCAATAGAAATCTGGATCATATTTCTCTACTTAGTATTTCATGCTGAAAATAATCTCACCCCTTACAGGCAGGTCATTAAAAATGTTATCATAGCTATTAGCAAACAATTTATTTTCCATCTTCTTGGAAAAATTAATTCTTTATTAAAAGAACTCTCACTTCACTCTGTGGCAGAGATAACCGAAGTTTGGTCTCCTCTCTGCAGTCTCAGGAATGCACATCTAATTTCAGGAAGCTACTCCGTTTGCAGTGGGCACAAAGTGCTTCTGGGGTTAGGTACCTCTCAAGGAAATCCAACTTCTCCTGCAGGAGAGACCCCTGGACCAGACCCCTGGATGACACCTCTGGACAAAACAGGCGTTTTGCTGGAAACTGAAGTGTGAACACAGGAAAGGAGCAGCCAGTGTCTGGCCTCTTGGGCTCCCAGTGCACACTGCTGACTTGTGCCCAGTTTTTCATCCACCAGAACCCCCAAGTCCTCTGCAGGGCTGTTCTCAGTGATTCCTCCCAGTCTGTGCCCATGTCTGGGATTGTCCTGAGCCACATGAACCTCTTGAACTTCTTGACCGTCTTGAGTTTCTCATGGATCCGTTTCTCAAGCTGGACACAAATTTCTTGTCAGTGCAAACTTGCTGAGTGTGCACTCAGTTCCACTGTCCATGTCAGGAATGAAGGGATTGGAGAGCGCTGGTCCCAGAGCCCTGAGGGACGCCACTCACCATGGGCCTCCATGGACACAGAGCTACTGATCACCTCTGCAGCCATTCAGCCAATTCCTCACCCACTGAGCAGTCCACCCTTCCAATCCACTCTTAACTCTCCAGCTGGGAGTTAAGGATGCCATGAGGGACCACCCTGAAAGCCTTGCAGAACTCCAGGTAGATGACACTGGTCAGTCTTCCCTTGACCATTGTCTCAGTCACCCCATCACACAAGGCCACCAGACTGGTCAGGCATATTTGCCCTGAGTAAAGCTGTGCTGGCTGTCCTGGATCATCTCTTTGTCTTGCCCTTGCCTAAAAATTTCTTCCATGAAGATCTGCTCCATGATCCTCCCAGGCACTAAGGTGAAATGTACTTTCAGTGTGGCATTAACACCTCCAGCACAACAGAGTAAAGCCATTTGTGAGTCAAGAAATTATGTTCTGGCTTTTCTGGTGTGGAATTAAAGACAGGAGATTCCATGCCATCCTGTAAAAAGGTATTTATGGTCCATCTACACTGCTTTGTGCACCTACTGTGCCTCTTTTCCTGAGTAATGTTTGCAGGAACACAACAGACAGCCCTCAGCCACTGAAATCTTCACAGCTGACACTGCTGAGGGAACAGCAGCATGAAGGAGTAGATTTGCCCAGAGGGTTTGCTAACATATCTTAGTATTCTTTCAAGCATTCAGTACGTTCACTGGTAAGTCCTGTGTTGAAAAATCATCATCATCATCATCATCATACTAAAAAGTACTTGCATCTAATCAAACAAGCCATGGCAGAGGCTGAGAAATTACATCATCACTGGGTTTTTCTACTGCTGTACACTATCATTCATCTGTATCAGTGAGTAGAATCTAAACAAAAAAAGGAAGTTTCTGCCACAAAGAAGCAACTCAGATTATATCTGCAGCTCAAAGTGATTCAGATGTGAAAAGTTTTCAGCAACCTACAAAGACATGATGTTAGACAAAAGCATTATACTGAAACAGAAAGGAAAATGATGTTTCGGTGGCAGTTAGACACAAATAACTAACTTGTGACAGATCTAAACAGAGAGACGTCTAAACAGATCTAAACAGGAAAGGGGTCGTTGTCAAGTAGCAAATGGTACCACTTTCTGTTAACTTGTATTTTAATAGTTAAATGCATTATTCCCATTTTTTCCTGAATTTTGACACAAATCATTAAGGGAAAATTCCGATAGCCTATATTTCTGAAAAGTAAAAGAAAAAATAATATAAAATACAAATATCAATTTTCTTATGGTAGTGCTGAACTGCTTAAGACCTTTCTGTACTCAGATGAAGGGAAGCATGCTGAGCTGCAATGGATGAGATAATCTCAAACAATGCACTTACATTTTCAAAATGTAGAAACTTATCTAAGAGAAATGGCAACTTAAATATCTAACTAAATAGCTTTTACTTTTTAAAGAAATATGAAGAACTTACTCTGGTCTGAACTGGTAACATGTAATAACTCTTGTTTCAAAGAAAATACTGTGCACCACTGATCCAGGGATTGGCTTTTTAAACCATGGCAATACACAATGGTATTCAGACTGCACAAATTGTTTCCTGAAGAGGTAAAAATGATTCTCAAGCGAAAAAAGAGCTTAGTAAAGACAAACTTCAAGGATTTTACCTGCTGGGCACCAACATGCAGTCGATGTCAGGTCTCTTTGTCTTGGGAATGGCATACAGAGGGTACCTATCACCATGTCGAATCAGCACTTGAACTGACACCAGCTTAAAATAATGAGGGGCATGACCTAAAGTGAAGAAAGGGAAAACAAGAAATAAAAAATTTAACTGTATCCACTTGCTTTAATTTAAAAAAAAAAAAAGTAGGTATCATTAGCTTGATAGCATTGGTATTGCAATCAAAGAAAACACCCCTAGGAAATTACAATTTACCAACCCAAGAAAGAGTTCACTTCAGATTGCAAGACAAGTTATACAAGACTGAGGTTTTTGGCATATCTCCACAGTACATCTGAAGTCCACCAACCACACAAAACACAACTCAAGCAATGAACTCTGTTAACACAATAAGGTTATTCCACTTTCATAATGCCTCTCTTCAGATCCCCATAATAATGATGGATTTTGCAGCATGTCTAATCTGGATCTTTCTGATATACTAGTTTGTGATTTATTTGATAACCATTAGTAGAATATGCTAATGAAAGACTTCATTCAAACTTGCTGTAGCTCCTGTGGAGTATGGAATGTAAATATGCCTTCTAGCTGACCATGTCTAATGGCTTGTAATTCCAAAATTAATTACTTCTGTGGGGTTTCCCTTCCTGGATTGCAAGTCAACTGTTTGAAATGCAGCTGACATTAACAAGAATTACAATTCAAATATTAAATATCTATAGCTCTCCCAACCATTTCAGTTTTAGGCCTATACCTGATTATTGGCTGGACACAGAACAATTTCCAAAAATCAAGGCAACAAAGAGGATACAAAGAGAAGGGAAGAGCAGCAGCATGTTTTGAATGATTTAAGGTAATTCAGTGACCAGCTGGCATTTGCTCCACCGTCTCCAAGCAGCAATGAACTGAATGCACAGAGTTATCATTTCCAATAACAGCAGAAAGCAGCAAGCAGCTGCCCTGAGGTGTGCCCTCCAAAGCTCACCCTCCATGCTGCGCTCAGCGGCGGTGGGGACGTTGCAGTACACCCGGGCTTCATAGACGGGGTCGATGGCTGGAGGCTCCGTCAGCAAATCCGGCATTATTCTCTTCCGGCTCTTAGGGCTCAACCCATCCTCCCTGACAGGGGTTACTGGGATCAAATGCACTGAAAGATACAAAACATACACCATGCACCTTCTGGAGACTTTAGGGACATAGAGGATTATGACTTTTATCTTTATTTCTAAGTAATTATGCACAAAAATTATGGTTTCGTGCAAGGATGTCTCTCAAGAGTAAACAACTTCATTGAGATTTTTTGTTCCTGATTTACATAGCCCAGAAGAGCTCTTTGGCTAAGACTTCAGGAACAGACCCAGATGGGTTTTGCATTCTTCTTGAAGCCACTTTTTCTATCAGTCTCTCAGCATGAATCACAGAAAAAGTGCCACAGTAAGTCTGGCTGTCCCTTATAATTTTAACTTAAAAACTGACATTGAAGGACATCAGCAAAAGATACAGCACAGTTATGATGAGGGTGGTACAAACCACTGGGAAAACAAAGTAGTCAAGATTGAAGGACTGGATTATTCTTCATTCTCCTCACTAATCCCTGCCCTTACATTGCCACCTTGTCAACCTTAAACAGTCTGGCTTATCAAAAAATAAAAAAAAAGACAAAAAAAAACCCCACAAAACATATTTCTTTGAATGAAAGTGAGACTACCCAAAAAATATGAAACACAAAGAAATGCAGTAAACTCACACAGAGAAGAAACTAACAGAAACACCACTGCTAAGTCTTCTGACATGTAGATGAAAGCTGAAACATATCTAAATGTAAGGCTAGAGTTGTAATGACCCTGCCTTAATGTGAGTGCATCAGCTAATTTATGAATCTTACCAGACTACACTTGTAATAACAAATGCCTCTATTCTATTCTGTTTTCTGGAATTTTAATCAGAAGCTTTAGAGGTGAAAAAGAGGAGGAAAAGTGTTCATCTTTTTAGCCCCTTAGTCTTCTATCTTGAGAGAGAAAAAAAAAAATAAAGAAAAGATGAGACAACGTATTTCAAAGCAAAACTTTACTAATTCTTCTGTGTCAGTTCCTCAGTTCCATCCTGACACCCAGTTCCAATTTCAGAGGTGAATGTGTTCCATAATAAATAGTTGTACAGACCAGAAAAACTAATGAAGACAGCAAACCAAAGCAAAACACACACAGATTTTAGAAACACATAGCCAATAATAAACACAGGCTCTTCCTTCTTACACTACAATACACTGCACTTCAAATATTTTCATGTGGTTATTCTTTATCTGCCAAAACCAGAACCCAAGCATTTTCCACAGCCTTGCTAGTGCTGTTGACAAGGCCAATACCTGCCAAGTCCAGTGACTTGAAACTTTTCACTAAGATGTTTCAGATTTTGCTTTCAGTTGTTTTTGGTGAGACTATTAAACTGAAATTTTGACTTTGGAAACTTTAATTGTGGAGCTCAGCTGCCATTTCAGCCTTTATCTGCCAGATTCAATTCTTAACTCCTTGCTTGGACTCACATGGTTGTGAGACATTGCAAACCCCTGCCTAAGACCCCGGCAGTAACACAGAGCCTTGGCAATACCTACCAGAGGTTTGTAGCACATTTGTACTTGGGGTATAAATCTCAAACCCAAGAATGTCATCCAACAGTGACTGGGCTCTGCAAACAAACAGCACTACAGACAGCACAAATGGCAAATTACAGGTACATTCTATTGGCCAAGTGTCCAAGCCAGAAAAGGTTACAGCAACAACTCCCAGCTTTCTGCAACTTTTCTCTCTAGAGCAACCCATAAACAACAAAGCTACTGCTCCCAAATGCCACACACACAGAGCTGGCTGAAGTACTCAAGTACTTATAGCTCAAGTCAGCTTGGACATTTTTGCATGTCTAAGGGGTGTTTCAGCAGACAGGGGAAACTATACCCCAAAAGCAAAAACTACAAGTTAACTCTGAACCTAAATTTTAGTTGGGAGATTTAAAAGCAAAATAAAGGTCATAGTTTTTTTTCATCTAAGGCAGTTTTAACTACAAAAACCCTGAACAGATCCCATTTTTGTACTGAGACTATTAAGGGCAGAAGCTAACAGATGCATACAGCAGCTTTTAAAATCAAGTACCTATGACTCCTGAGGCCAAATACCTTGTTTGCAGAAAATAAGTCTCATTTCCTTTATTCAAGCTAGTTGAATAAATACCATAACACTGCCAGACAAATTTAAGAATTAGGAAAACCTTACAGAAAAGCATCTACTCTTTAAAATATTAAAAATAAAATTGAATATTAAGAATAACATTGAGTAATAAGAATAACATTGACCACTAAGAATAAAATAAAATATTAAAAATAACACCTGCAGGACTGCCACAATACATGTTTGCAATTTAAAAAGCAGTACAGCAGCTATAGGTACAACTTAAGACTATTTTGTGGACTAGAAATGAACTCGGAGATTAGAATATCAAGAGTTCATGTCATAGCTGGTAAAAGTTGTACTTATTGTACAGTGAAGATGCTTGGCTTATACAAGTGAGAAGAAAAGACACATGATAAGCAGTATTTGCTTTTAACACACTGAAAATAACACATATTGGATGAAAATAATGGCAATCAATCAAATCACCTACTCAAACACGTAAATGACATGAGTCATCTATTTAATGTAACTAAACAGAAAAAGGAATTACATGAACTAGGCACCAGTCTCTGCAGTCTCCTAAAAATCTCCACCAGGTGCATATACATGAAAATAACAAGTATTTCAGAGTTGGGGGAATGGGGATAGGAGGGATGAGGGGGACAACAGGGAAGAATGACAACACAAGACCAAGGAGAGATGAATCCCAGCTGGAGCTGCCTTCCCATAGCTCAACACAGTCACCCTGAAGATCCCACTCAGCCACACTGGTCCTCCTCAGCCCTTGTTAAAGCTCCTCAGAAGCTGGAACATTGCTGCACTTTCAGAGCTTTGGGATGAGGATCCCAAGTAACACATCCTCCCTTTGTATTCCAGGCTGTTGAAACAACAGAGGTATTTTTCATGTTCTTAGTTGCTTCTCAATAATTTCCTCATCTCCCGGATTATTATTTCCTACAATTATTTCCTACCATTCCCTGGCCATTATTAATGCCTCGTGTATTTATGATGTTCTTTCCTTTCTCCCTCCCTTCTCATTTCAAGTACTTGGCCTTCATGCTCCCTTGCTGTGCTCATTTATCCACTTCCCAGCTCTCCTGCTTCACACACTCATCCTCTCCAGTTCCCTTTGCACACAGGGCTCAATTTGGTCCTTCATTTTTGTACTCCCTGTACCACACAGAGCAGTTCTCTAAAGCTCTTTGAAGAGCTGACTGTCTCTCTGTATCCAAATATTTCCCTGCTGAAAGTCCTCCCCTGCAGTGTCAATGCCATCTCTGTCTCCCACGTGGGATTTCTGGTCCGTTTGTAAGGGGCAAAACTACAAACAGTATTGAACTGCTACAGCTCAGAGAGAAAAGGCAAAAATAAATAAAAATAAATTTTCAAAAGCCCCTTGCATGAAGCTGAAATTTGTTCTTTTTTTCCGTACTCAGCTCTGCTCTTCCAGCTGTAAATCATTACAAGGTCAGAATACTGCTACACATTTTTCACATTGCTTTTTACATCTTAGCAGTATTTTATGTGAAGTTCTTTATTAGTTCACAGTAACATGCACTTGCCCAAAACAGAAGTCTGCCAGTATGCACACAGTCATACTTAAATCTATGATTAAGAGAGGTTTCGAATGGGATTTTTCCACTGCTGTGCCTTTCAAAGCTCATGTTTCACTGGGACAGGAATACAACAATGTAAACGAGAAATGTAACAGATGATTTTGATGTGCATTTAGCACAGCCAGAGCAGTTAATAAAATAGATCTGAAACATTTCATCATCCAACTGGAAGCTTTGCCAACACTGAAACTATAAAAAATATGGACATAGTATTACAGAGGTAGCTTGACAACAGAAAGGGAAAGAGAACACATTTTATTTCCCAATATTCATAAACTTACTTTTGTAACTAAAGAAGCTACATAAAAACTACTTTGAAGCAATAATTTTGAAAAACTTATAGTGAGGGAAAAAAGTAGTAAGCTACAGAAACCATAAAAGGAAAGAGCTCAATGCAACCCTTCCTAGGGTCCCAGCAGGGTAAAATTGTTTGAAACATGGAGTACAACTAAATACACGGGCTGGCATCAGGCAAAGGTGAGACCTGATGGAAGTCAAACAGCAGCTGCTGCCTTGTGAGACAGAGAGGCTCTGATCACACAGGATTACACCTAAATACTGCTGTAGAATCACTCCTTCAAGAATTCTTGCAGCTCCAAACTCAGATTATTTTTTTAAGTCAACACAACTCAAAATAAATAAAATCCAAATTCTGATACTAAGTTTAGTATTAAAAAAACCTCCAGGAGCCTTTATTTTAAATCACACCATAGCACCTGAAGACCACATTCTAAAATGAACTCAACAGCTTGACTAAGAAATGGGTTTAAGAACAAACCCAGTGGCATCTTAAACACTGTGAGTATGGTTTTATTTCCAGTGTACATTAATTAGGACCTATTTAAAGAGCAAAACGTTAATTGTATGACTTCCATACTCCTTCCCCCACACTGAGATCCTGAATGCCCAATATATAAACCCCCAAATATGAGATAAGCAAGAGAGACTGAGAAGTGCTTTCAATGGAATGATTGTAACAATTCCTACACAGCAACTAATCCCCTCTGGAAAAATGTCAAGTTTACCAAATCAGCTGTTGTGCTCAGATGCCCAAGCAGGGAGCCAGATACGCATTAGGGCTACAAAACTGACACCAATTTGACAGAATTCAGTATAGCAGAAAACCAAACACACAAAGTGCAATTCACGTAGAAAGAACATAAATAAAACACTAAATCACTTCTTTATCAATTTCTCTCCCTCCTGCAGTCCTACTTTCAGCTTGAGAAACAAAAGGTAGCAACACTGTTTACCAAGAAGAAACATTTATCCATGAAAAAGAACCAAGAATATTTACCTAAAATCAGAAAGACAGGCAATAAAACCAGTTTCCATTGCTGTTTTCCCTTGTAGCTCCAAACAGCCTGAGAAGCAGCAGCACAAGTAGCCATGTTAGTCTCAATTTTCTGACTTAACAGAGAGCTGAAGTTTTCATCTTTTATAATACAGAAGGTTCTTTCAGCCCCATGCAAACATACTATTTAAAACAGTCCAACAGAAATGCAGGCACACAGCAGAAATGAAGAACAGCAAGCCCACTGTGAGTAACCTTATGCTGACGGGTAAAGAAAAGCAAACGCGCATGTTAGAGAGCACAAAAAGTTATTTATCCACTTCCACCTTTCCCCCCATCCCTTTTGCTCCTACCAGGGCAGTAACAAGGCTGCCTAGCACAGAGCAGAACACTCAGGCTTCTGAAAGTCTGGTGATGAATGTGGACTTCACAGATTCATAGAATCATTAAGGTTAGAAAAGGCTCCTGAGATCATTGAATCCAGTTGTTAACCCAGCACCACCATATTCACCACTAAAACCTGGCCCCAAATGCCACATCCACACATTTTCCCTAATATCCAGTCCCCTGGCACAACTTCAGGCAATTTCCTCTTGTCCTGTCGCTTGATGGGACTGGAAGAAGAGGCTGATCAGCACCTGGTTACAACCTCCTTTAGGTTGTAGAGAGAGAGAAGGTCCCTCTGAGCCTCCTTTTGTCCAGGTCAAACATCCCAGCTCTTCTAGATGCTCTCTCCCTGAAAAAAAGGGAAGCTAGAATAGGTGTACTGTACAGAAGAACAACCCAAAAGAGGCAGGAATTCTTGAAAACAACTAAGGTGGGGAGAGAAAGGTGAGGAAACAATCTGGAAAAAATCTGAAAAACAATCTGGAAAAAACAGCTAAGGCACATATGGGCTGAAGAGTACATTGTGCAACACTGAAGATACACTGCCTGTGGAGAAATGAAGCAACCTGAGCACAGAGCTCTGACATCCTGTGACCCTGGGTATGACCCTGCAAGTCCCACGTCTGATCCCTGCAAACCCCTAGGTGGGGTTCCAGAAAACCCCACCCTCATCCCCAGGCAGCACCCCCCAGGATCGGTTTTAGAGCTCTGCCTTGGACTGCAAATGCACATTTGGGTATTGATGAAGTTCACATGTGCCTGTGTGACACACAACCCACCTTTCTCATTTTCTGCTTTTGCATTGCTAAATAAAAGGCTTTGACTGGCTCAAAGGTAAGATCTGTATTAACAGCAAGGGCCTTCATCCATAATGCACAAGGCCACCATCACTAATGTGCTGTATTTGAATGGTGAATAATCACCCAAACAAAAAAAGGCTTCTTAACCTCACACTGGTTAAACTATCAAGTACTATTCAAAAAGATAACCATAAAGGCCTTTTGAAAGGCTTTCTAAGCCTGTGAACACAAGTTTCTAACTTTAGATTTAGTATTTATATAAAGTATAAAGTATAAATGGAGCCACTAAACTTTTATTCGCTTTTAGTTTATTAGAATGTGTAGCTTCAGTAACAAACAAAAACCCCAGTAATTTTTACTTTAAATCAAACCTCTTGCCCTACAGAACCTGAAGAGGATTTTTTTTTTAAGCAAGATCTATGCACACTGAACCTACAAAGTGACAATCTTCAGTGTCTTTTCAGTCTCAATCCCTTAACTACTTTTTTCACCACAACTCTGTTTCTCCAAGCACTTGCCCTTCCATTTCCTCCACTCTTGCTGTGTCTCCTGCCTGTTGAGGAGCAAAAGGAGAAGGGGTCCCTCAAGCACAGATGTGCTCATGGGCAGCCAGAGCCCTCCTTGGACTCCAGAACAGGCTCTGAGTTCAAGCTTTTCTTCCAACAGTGCTGCTAAATTCCCTGAGCACAATACAGAGAAAAAGAGCGAAGGGAGCTATGAGGGAGGTGGATAACAGAGAGAAAAACAGTGGGGAATGGAGGGGGGCACACACTTAAATTTAACCTGGAATAGCAACAGCGAAATGCTCTGCTTTAACAAACCCCTGAGAAGATAAAGAAGGCTCCTTGGAGTGCAAATTCTCCACAGTATTTCAACCTAACAATTGTGTGCATTCCAAGGTGACATAGGTACAACTTTCAGAGTGCAGCCGTGGCAGGGCAGCAGTGGGAAACCCTTCCCCCCTCACACACCTGAAATGTTACCTGCCCAAACTCTGAAAATGGGTGATTCAACACAATTCATCTGCTCTAGTAGAGAACAGGGCAGGAATTTCCAAGCTCATGGGATTGAGCAGCCAAATGGGAGCAAACAGAGACTACAGATCCCCTCTGAGTTTCCAAGAGTTTGCAAACACTCAGCACCAGTCTGAGTTATGGGCTGACATGTGCCCAGACACATACACCTATTTAACCCACTCGATTTTGTGACTGCTGCTGCTGTTTTTCCTTCTGTAAAAGAAATCACAGTAATATAGAGACTTTTCAAGCTGTCTTACAGCACAATCCTATTGCCAGCAGCCTACATGTCACGTTCTAGGACAAACTTCAAAAAATATTCACAAAGAGTATTTAGGTGTAGCAAACAAGTAATGAATAAATAATGAATAAATATTCCTTTCACGGCAGTTTTTCTAATCAAAAGTGCTGAAAAATGCTTGCTACAGCAGCCTCGAACACCTGCACTTCACACTGCAGAGCCACACTTCTGCTGTGGCCTCCAGCACAGCATATTTTGACACCAGAAATTAAAATCCACTAGAACAGTTCTATCGATCCCATCAAATAAACATGGGCATCTCTCTTCCTACAGCAAAAAAAAAAAAAAAAAAAAAAAAAAAAACCAAAAAAACAATTACCTTGGAAGACCATGAGAAATGCTGCAACAGACTAGTGAAACACAACATCATATTTCAAATTCTTACAGCGAAATTTTAACCTGTCATGAGAAAATGATTAAATTCACACAGCTGGGGAGTTGGGTGCATGAGGAGCGTGTGTGTCCATTTTGGTGCACTCATCTTTGTTGGGTAAATTTCTGCATTACTTCAGTCAATATCAGAAAAATGCTGCTTTTAAAATTCTGTTAAGTGCTATGTTTATATTTCCTCATGTAGTTCCTCAAACTACATCTTCAGTTTCATAGTGACAATACAGAAGTAACAGTTCCATTTCCTCCCCCAATTACTTCTTGTGATTTAATAAAGAAAAGAGGTGTATTTCTCTTTTCTTTTAGCCTTGCAGACTCAGTCACCACAGAGCCTGAAGCATCAGGTCCCTTCCTGCCCTTCTCCACCTGGAGAACTCAGCTACAGCCACTCTCCGTCCGAAACAGGCTGGGGAGGGGAGCAGGGCAGCCAACACGAGGAACCACTCTCCTCCAACTGGAAAAATACCCAGGGGAAATTTGAAATTAAAATGCTGTTTGTCTGTTTAAAATATAGGAAATATAAGTTTTCTGAAGCATCTGAAAATGGGAACTCAGGGAAACTAGGAGGCTGCAGATGTAGCTCAGCTAACCCCATGGAAGTCAGATCTGATGAAGGGGGAACAAGTGTGAGCTCTAGAGTATTTAGATTTTTAATGTGCATGTTTTGAAGAAAATCACAGACATTAGGACATAAGGAAAAAAAACTTAACAAGACTTAACACTGCTCTTCTGCCACATACAAACAAAATGGAAGCCTACACATACACCCCAGTATGAGTTTTCTCACCAAAATCCCTGCTTTCTGTCCAGAACAATAATATAATTGCAGCTACAACTTGTAAGTGCACCTTAGTTTTTCTAATCAATCCTGGTGTCATTTTCTTACATGAAATGCAACCAAAAGCTTTTTCTTCAGCCTAATGTCACCTGAGTTTTCAGATCCCTAAAGTTTTCCACTGGAGATGCAAATGTTCCTGTGGACAACTGAGAGCTACTATAAATAGGCTGCTCTCCTCAGCTGTTTTTCACAGAGTTGGACAGAAATAGCCAACCCTCCTACCCCTTTCCAGGAGTGGGGCAAAGCCTGCTTGTCTGCCTATTTTCTGGCTCACAAGCTGTGAACTCTCTTTAAAGGTTTTCCTTATTTTGGGGCAAGTGCCAAAAGCAGCCCTTGCCCATGGAGCCATAGCTCACAGGTACTGACCTAGGGCCTTATTCCATATCAGAGTCAGAGCAAAATAAACAGATTTCAGTATTTGTGTGATCATGTTCAAAGGTAAACAGAACAACTACACACAACCACCATGCCTGGTAGCTTACCAGCTTTAAACACCAGTATTGCAAGAGCACAGGTTTCTTATTTCCAGCTGCAGTAGCTGCATGGCCAGCAGATTTTTTTTTTTTTTACAAGGTCACAATCTGACTTACATGAGGAAAAGGAATATGTTAAGAAAATCCTTTTTGCACCAAACACAACATGACAGGCCGTGTACTCTTGTGTTTGAGATCTAATTTAAGCAGATACATTAAATAATACAATGTGTGCTTGCATTTATTAAGTCCAGATGCGGCTCTGAAAAGAGCTTTATCATTTTAGGGGTTCCCCCCCCACCCCCCATTGTTTTTCACTGGACAATTCAGAAGGGCATATGGCACTGCTTAAACAGCTTCCAGGATTTTCACCCTGACAGCAATAACACAGCAATGCTGACTGCAAATCTGAGCCTTTTCAAGCTCTAGAGATGACAATCATTTTCCACTTCTCCTCCCAAAGTGAAAAATTACTTGCTGTATTTTATCATATTTTCCTTCTACACTGAAACTCTACAATGTTCACCAGCAAACAGATTATATTTTCATCAAACAGATTTATATTTTCATGAATTTAATATACTAATTTATTCAAAAGAAATACACATGCATGCTAAAGCTTTTCTTTCCCAGCATGTCACTAATTACCCCATTGCTTGGCCCTGCCCTGGGTCTGGGGGAGTGGGGGAGGTTCCTACAAGACACCGAGACAAGCAGACACATTTGCTGCTCTACAAACACATTGCTCAAGTCACATCTTGCTCCTTCTCCAGGTTGTTGAGTGACAAGATGCAAAAGGAGCCCAGCAGTGCTTTCCCTGACACAGTTATGCTGGCCCTGGCCCACCACAGCCTCGCTGGGACTCCCAAAAGAGAAGGGCAACAACCACCATGAACCACCACGCTCTGGAGAAGTCCCTCCTATTGCTGGGAGCTGCCACATCTCATCATGTTGTCAGAAGACTTCAGCTGTACCAAATCAGTGTCCTGAGGGCCACCAAACAAGGCTTAAATACACAAAGACTGAACAGGGGGGAGTTGTGGCCTGAGCACAATTTTTACAAATACAGTAGAGATCCAGGCACTGCTGCTTATGCAACAAGATTCATGAGCACTGCAGTAAGATTTTAAAGCACTGTCCTGCTTCTGTCTACAGAACTCAGCAACAGCTAAATGAACTAATCCAACTGAATTGTCCTGGAACAGATTTTCAAAACAGGTTTTATCAGCTGTGTTCAGAAACAGCTGACAACTCTTCCCATTTCCTCGTATTGTCCCAAAATAAAGATCAACTGCTCTACACTGATATACACTGCCCTGAGAGCCTCTGCCATCCTTTTCCAGGGGTGGGGACCTTTACTTTTAGACTGAGGTTTGCTTGGTTCTGTTTTTTTCTTTCCTTTTGTCCTGTATGATTCGCACAAATACTGGAGTGGGAAGCTGTGCAGCAGCAATTGCAACATGACTGAAAAAAAAGATGCTTGGCAGATTTCACACATGAACTGAACACCAACATAGCAGCCAAGAAGACT